GCCCAAATCCGCCCGAACCCGCCTGAACGCCGGAACTGCCAAAGCGCAGCGGATATGCGGCAAATTGGCATATTGGAACACGCGTGGAATACTGCCCGCGTGGTGCATATATCTTAGTCACATGTAGCTCAACGTTACATACCGATCTGCTTTTGCAACCACTCCGTTGAGAAAGATCAATCGCATGCGTGCTTCATGCCAAATTACATGCAATCTACTGCGCTTTGGCAGTTCAGGCGATTTCGGACGTACAGCAAGTTTCGACCCGCTTTAGGCGGAAATTGGATTGGCGGGAGTCCGCCTCGCAACAGCTCGCGCCGTTTTGCAGCTACAGTATATCCTATCGCGCTGAGAACCCATGTCTGCGTCTCTTCAATCTCCTTAGTCTTTGCTTGGCAAAATGCCAGCGCTATGCGCTCGCAAAGCCTCCAGCGATGCGCGTGCGCTGCTCCACGTAGAATGCCTCGCCTAATCCGGGATGAAACCGACTGTATTTGGACGGGTTTGGGCGAATTTGGACGTTCGGGCGGATTCGGACGGGTTTGGGCGGGTTTCGGCGCGGTCTGAACGACCCCTTAAGTATGGGGGCACCAGATACATATAAGATTTCCTCGTTTGAATGATTCTGCCAAAGTGATTGCAGCCGCTAATTTCGATGTGTACGTAACTGCACGGCGTCTCTTGCACACGACGTCTCTTTCGCAAACATCGTTTCGGAATTCGCGCTTTGAAACGAAGTTCCAACATCATTTCCGATAAGGAATAGCAGCATTTGATAAATCTTGGGTTTTCTTCTTGTTAATTGTACATATATTGTTATTTCACTGTTTGAGAACATCGATGAAGTGTTTAGATCATGTCAGAAGAAGAAACTAAGGCGAGTGGAGGACATCGTAGCTTACGAAGAGGAAGTTTTACGGGACGTCAGAATAAATGTGTGCAGTTTAGAAACGGTGAAGGTGATATTGTTATCTTGAACATTTCAGTTGGTGGGCGACGACGTTTTGGGCATGAATTCGTCTACCCAACTGGCGGCTCGAAAGAGGATCCGTTGAATCTCAATGCCGTAATATCCGGTAGCGAGACAAAATCTGCAGAACTTGAGAAGGATGGTTCTAGATTACTGGAGGTAGTATTTGCGTCAGTGTAAAACGTGTTTTTTTATCGGCACTTTGAAGAGTCGCTACTTTAGTCGCCATTTCCAGGTTCCCGTGCCAAAAAATCTGAAAGACCCGCTCAATTTAAATAGCGTAGAAAAGCAGAGACGAAAGTAAGCTCTCTTTTTGTTAAAGGTTTGAACTAATTGTGCATTTTAGGAGAAAACAAGCCGAGGACGTGGCTGTCGCGGAAGATGAAATTGTTTCTCCTGTCACTCGTAAGCAGGTAAACAGTTTTCATGCGGATGTTTCAACCTCTGATTCAACTGGCTTGGCGAGTGAAAGGCGGGCTTTGTGACCTAATTAAGGGCTGCGCCCGCGACGCAGTCTGCTCTATCTCGCGCGCGTGCTCTCCGATCATTATCTAGCCTTAATTAGTTCACGAAGCCCCGCTTTATATTTTTTGGCATATGCCCTAATTTCACGAGTGCAAGACGCACCTTTTTCATTTTTTCGAACAAGCAGCTCGGCCACACCACTAAGCCTGCCGATATGATTGCTCTTCCACGCAATGCTTTCAAGTGAGGAGCAGCACGGTGATGAGTTTTCTGACTGTGAAATTTTTTGTTGTGTTCAGGCTGGCCAAGTTCTAAAAAATCGGGTGCGTCTTGTGCTCGTGAAATTAGGGAATCGATTTCACATCTTGGCAGATTTTACGCTTGTTCAGAGTGAAAGATAGATAAATTCTCCGCTTCCCGTCATTGTTACTCCATGACTAATGCGCTATCTTTAAGCATTTGAAGAATTTTAGAAAAAGCGACATCATGGCAGTCCAAAGAGGGATCCCAAAGGAACACTAGCCAGCGCAAATGATCCCGCAGCGGGTGATGGGACAATAGCCAGTGGTAGTAAACCTACACCCGCAGAACTACGGAGAATCCGTCAGGAGCATTTCAACAATAGGTTTGTAGCTGTGATCTTTCTTAGCTCATGTCTTCCACATTCTTTTTTATTGCCAATATTTTATCAAGGTACTGCTATGGAAATTTCGACCGGTATTATGGTACTCGCTTGGAACCTAATCAAAAGGATTCGCGCTTGACGGTTTTGAAAAAGGAGTGGTTCGAGAAGAAAAGTATACTGGACATTGGTATGCTATCTTCATTATTATCATTCTTTTCTTCTTAGTTTCTTTTCTCTAAAGGTTTATCAAGTGAAGGTTTTAGAGGCTCTAAGAGCAGTCTACATTTCTGGCCCAAGCGTTGTGTCCCCTTTCAAACGCTTTTGTGGTGTTGTTAGGTCATACCAAGCTCAAATTCCCAATACCTAAGGTTATTCCATGTATTTGCGGATTAAGTGGTGTGCTAAGTATATGCCTATAGGCACATTCTCTTTGAATCCTAATCTGTGGCTGTTACATCCACTGTTTTAAATCAATGTAGTACTGTGAAGCTGCGAACCCGGACTTATAGAACGGTATCAGAGCTGAGTTGTCCCAGTTTGTTTTCAATAGAAGCTTTACGTTGACCCAAATTATCATTTGTGAGATTTGAAGCTGTGAATGGCTATGAAAACTTATAGCCTACAAATTCTGCACATTTACTGTGTAAAAATTTCGGTGCAAGGTGTTGTTTACAATGTTGCCATTATTACCTCATCCATCTTGACCATACTATGCGCACTGCAAGCTTCATTGAAACATGGTTAAGGATAGCACGGCTCCACTTTTTCTTAGCACTTTACGTTGATTCTAGTTGCTATGCTGTTGAGCAGTCGGTGCTATTACCAGTTTTTACAGGATGCAATGTGGGCTTTCTAACACTCTCGATCGCAAAAGATTTTGGTCCACGTCGTATCCTTGGAATAGACATTGATGAGCACTTGATCGGCGTGGCGCGTAAGAATATACGCCATTATTGTGATCAGGATATAGAGGTAATCGGCATTACTTAATCTACTTTTTTTTTCTACATTCTGCATCTCTTTAATTGTATTTCAGTTCATTGGAAAGTTTCCTGCATCCTTCTGCACCAATTTTGGTCCTATCGCAAACCACAGTCTATCGTTCTCAACGAAATTTCCTGATAATGTCTGGTTTCGCAAGGAAAACTACGTTCTTGAAAATGACGAACTGTTAGAGACTGTACGTTGACTTTACGGAACGTACAATGTTTTGGAGATTAATTAGATTGTTTCAGGTTCAAGAAGAGTTCGACGTTATTCTTGCCCTGAGTATCACAAAATGGATTCATCTTAATTTTGGTGACGATGGTTTACGACGTTTTTTCCGCCGCGCTTACAACCAGCTTCTCCCAGGAGGAAGATTTATTGTAGAGCCCCAGCCATTTGCTAGCTACAGAAAGAGGTCAAAAATGACCGTAAGTTAATGGTAGTTGCGACTATTCTGTATTGATTCATCGCTCTTCTGTTGATTAGAAGGAGATCTTTGTATGATAACATTTGCAGCCATGGACAAATGTAGCCAGTGATTAAAAAATATGTAAAGGTTTTTTTTCTATGCAGTTTTCCTTTGGATGATCGTATTGAAATTGTAAGGCTGTAAATCAAGCAAAGGCACAGCAGAATAGCACTATGAATGACTATGCTCCATCATTTTCAGGAGCGATTGAAAGCTAATTATGCTGCTATCGAATTCAAGCCGGAGGACTTTGAAATGTATCTGATTGAGACCGTCGGTTTTGAAAGCGTGGAACATCTTGGTGCTCCTTGTGCAAAAAGCAAAGGCAAGAATTTTCTCCTGTCATTCGCATTCAGTCTGGTGGAAACTTAGGTCTTTAGGTTTCGAACGTCCAATCGACGTCTACTTGAAGAAGCCTCCGCGATTTCTGGAGTAAACACACAAGACGGGTGTACTAGATCCTGAAATCTTTAATGTACCTCATGCTCAGTAATCTCTGCACCAATTTTCTACAGCGCTCGTCATCGATAAGGATGGGTTATTGTCAACAGTCTCCAAATCCTATCAGAACAATGATAGTTTTTTACGATTTTGTTGTGTCCTGCTTTTTTGAATATGGCCGGTGTGAGCTTCACTGGTGATATTGTTGATGTTTTGTGATTTTTTCTTGAATGTTTACAACCTTCTTATATAAATATTATATATAGCAGACTTATAGCCTCATGTAACTGTGTTTTTATCAATAATATATTGAGTGTTTCAACCAGTGACCTTGATGTATAGGCTGTTTCAATGAAAGTATCACCGCTCACGGGTTCGCCGTCGCGGATTTGCGAACGCGCCTTGCTTACTGCGCCGCGTTCGCAAATCATCTGGGCACATTTCACTTTACTTGTTGCTCATACATGGGAAAATGCGCGGAGGTTTGGCCCGGCGCCAGCCTCGAGCATGATGGCAGCGAAACTCCGAGCTACTGGGTTGTGGAACTCTCACTGAGACAGGCTATGCTTTCATTGGTCGTAATTTGTGCACAGCTACCCAGATATTTCTTTTGTAGTGAGAAATGTTTTGGATCATTCGCTTAAATCAAATGTGTAAGGCAATTATAGTCGTGCTTCAGTGGCCGTATCCTTCAAGTTACTGAGTTCGTTCGTTATACCACTTGTGATGTGGCTTTTTGCGTGTTCCGAAATCCAATTGGGTATCGTCAAGCTATTGGTTCCACAGTCCACTAGTCCTACACGATGGGTTCGTTGAGGAATACGGCCACTTCCAGAAGCCTGAAGATTTCGTAATCTCCTTGGAAAAGTGTGATTTCTTTTATAAATCCGTTGCTATGTCCCTTTCGCCTTTGGAGTCCAAAAGCTGCACAGGAGTGTTGATAAAAAGGCCCTGTTATTTTTTATTCGTGATTTCCATTCTCGTTATGGTGGTTTTTTCTCATTTCTATCTCAGAACAGATGACTCAGCCTAGTTTGTGAAATATGTGTGGGTATATTGGTTCGCAGGGGCAGAGAGCCGCTGGCAGACCATGTTCAGAATGCGATAGCTTTTCATTACCGGAGTTGTTACCATCATTTTTCATTATACTATTTTCCAACGGCCGCCTTTTACTTTTGATTGTGAGTGGAGTCATAGTTTAGCGTAACTTAAACACATAACGGTATTTGTTCTTGAAAACCTTCAAAACAAGGGAGTCTGATATAACCCCGTTTTGGATGGAGTGGGCGGAGATTGCAGTCAGTTTTCATTTCACTATGGATACAAAAAAGAAAAATCATGGAAAATGCAAATGGCCTTTATAAACCTCCTCATTTATATCCACATTTGCTTGGTCGTGACCTGTACGTGCTGCTCGTTTTAATAGAAAATGAATAATGTCTCTATTGTAGATGTCGGGGACACCGCGAAAAGTTCCTCGAATTATGGCTAAATCCGCAAGGGCTGTAAAAACATCTACTGTTATTAGTAGTGAGTTCCTTTTAGTATTTTGTGGGTGTGAACTTCCTATTGCGTGAAATTAATTTTGTAGGCTCCAAGTCTGATGGTATAGAAGCTAGCGGAAATATTCCTATACCAACGAATGAACTTGATGACGATCATGAACAACTTCTTGTACGAGATGGAGTTGTTGTTGGACTGCAGCAGCCCAATGGCCACTTTGTAGACGAGACAGGAGTGCAGGTTTTCAGTAAAAGACTTGTTTCGTATGCTTTGCTTCATCGTTCCGAGTATTCTTTTCCATAGAATTTCTCGTGTTAGTTGTTCGTTCAGCTTGTACTATTCCAAGTTGCAGGTGCCAACATCTGTGGTGCATACTGGCACTCCTCGCACAAGGAGAATTGTAATTGAGAGTTCCATAGAGAATAGCGGAGAGTTGGAACCCTACATACCCACGGCTTTACCCGGTCAGTGCAGTTGCTTGAAGTTCACTATCTCCTTCACTCTCTGTTAAGACACATATGTCTGGAGCTTCTGCAGCCACATCGTGATGATCAAAATACCAAATGAAATCGTGATTTCTAAGAATATGCGTAGACATACGTTTATTCAGCATTAGGAACAATTTTAACATTGCTCAACGTAACTTGATCGAGAGGGTGCCCAAATTTCTACTTTTTTCTCTAAAAGCAGCAGCGAAGTTTTTTTTCACTTATTCTCTGGTTTTGATGCTTTGTGGATTTTTCGATTACTATTTGACAAAGTGGGAAGTGTGATTGAGAGCTACTATGCACTGCTTTAGATCTGGTTTTGGTTGTGGGGTTATAAGGGAAGCAATTTTTTTGATTGTTTCTGACTTTGTGTTATTTTATAGCATAATAAAAACAATGAATGTGCTATTTTTTGATTGCCCCTTCTTCGTGAGCGGAGTTCAGAGGAATTCCGTGGTTTCCGCGGTTTTTCGCAACTATCTACTCTCTTTTGATCATTGTCCGAGACTGTTTTACATTCAGGAAACTGTACGTATCAATTCCAATGAGCGTGCGAGGTTTTTGACTTGGCCTTGGGAGCAAACTTATAGAAAGAGTCTGCATGGCTCATAGTTTCCTCAAATTCTCGAAATTCAACATTCGAAGGAAAGCGTGGTTGCAAATGCTTCTAAATTCCACTGCCTTTGGAGTTTCTTTATATATAAGGCGTAATCTTCATTCAACCTTTTCGGCGCTGGTCGTATTCCTCGATATGAAAATTCAAAAACTGTAAGAACCAGTAACTGCAGTGCTGAAGAATACATCACAAATGCTAACAGGGCAGGCAAGGCTACGTTAGGCGCTCAAATCACCGACAGGTGTTGCGTCTTAGTTTGTCTAGGGAAAGCACTGGCTTTTTTAGAAGTTGTGCACTAGCTGTCATTCTTGTTTAGGGGTAGCCGATGAAGTTGAATCTTATCCCTGCCCGCTTTGTCCAGATAGAGTGTTTTTGACATCATTCGGTCTCGAAAAGCATGCAATGGAGAAACACCAGAATCACTTGCAACAGGTTATAGCTAAGGATCAGTGAGTCAGAGTCATGAAACTTTTTTGCTCTAGATACTTGAGCACATCGAAGCGATCAGTGCTGAATGGCGACGACGAGAAGAAGAACTCGCGCGGCGAAGGGAACGCGTTTATGCTGCTCGACTTCGGCAGGAAACTATCACAAGACATGCTATTGAGCAGGTTTCAAATGGAACTCTTGGCACATTTCCCGGTATGTTATGAGAAGAGTTTATGATTATATTTTGTACATCATGTTGCTAAACAATTTGCGCTCTGTTTCTATCTATTTCGTTTTTTTCTTTTCAAACATAACCTAAATTGCTGATAGGATCTAGGACATAACAAAAACAAAATTTTTCAACAGCATGCGCGGCGTCTGCCGAGTCCATCGCTGCTGTTGGAGACGCTGCAGAAGGAGAGCGACGATTCAAAGCATGCGGCTTGTGTGGAATTCTCGTAGATGCTGATAGTCCTGCTGCTATGGAGAGTCATCTTCGAGCTCATAAGAAAAATGACGACCTCAAGCTCAAGCTTCTAGCACGCTATGGTCCAGAGGTTAGCTTCACGTTTTCTCCATTTTTATGCCATCTTCACATTTCTTCAGGAGGTTGATAGGCTTATGTGTAGTGAGTGCAATATGGTTTTTGGAGACGAATGTAGCTTGATTGTTCATAATCAGCAAATGCATACAAGAAGACGGAAGTGAGTCATTATCTACTTAGTCAAAAAGACACCGCTAACAATAGAATTCGATTTTCTGTCTACTCTCTTTCATCGAGTTCTTTCTTCCTGGATGTAGTGATATTGGTAAATTAGTTTTTGCCAGATATGTGTGCAAATGGTGTGGGCATGTAGCATATACTATGACTGAGCTGAATATACATAAAGCTGATGTACATGCAATGCCGCCATATACTGCGAGGTCCGATAGAGATAGGGTGAGTTCGCTTCCATGTTAAATCGGTACAGGTGCAGCGTAAAAGAATTTCACCTACAGTTCCTGAAGAAGCGCCAAAACCTTTTGAGTCGGGGCCTGATAGCGTTAGGCGCAAATCCCAGGAGCAATGAGATAGATGATAGACATGGTTCGTCCACTTCATACGCTGATGATTTCTCTTTCAGGTTTGTAGCTTTGCAATTTTTCGTTGTATGTTAGATTTGCTAGACTGCGACCGCAACAATACTTCGAAAACTTACACAGAGAACATACTTAGGACGACCTGTGAACAGTGCGGATTGAAACTAGTGCGTCCCTCGTTGCTGATTCGTCATATGATTCGTGTTCATTCTAGAAGAGCATTTTCCTGCAAAGTATGTAAACTCTAATTCGAATGCTCGTTTCAGTCAAGATACCCACAATATTATAGATTGAAGCACCTGGTTATAGTAACTATCGCATCGACGTTGATTCCGACAGAATCTTTTGGACATGCTGCAATACTCCGTTCACCAATAGGTAAGTGTCAGTAAGCATACCTGTTCAGCCAAATATTTTTTAAGGCGAGACTTTTATACTCATCGAGTCAGTGATCACATCGCAAAGCTGGCAGAAGGTGATGGTGATTCTACAGTGGAGTATCAAACATACGAAGAAAGTCCTCATCCACATGGTGCTTTGAGTACGTTTTATCTCAAGGACTTGATGATTTTTTTTTGGAGAGGGGAGCAACTTCATTTAGCCCCGGGCGCAGGTGTTTGTGTAGAGAGTGCAGATGGTACTTCGTACATGGGTAGGATAGAAACGGGTCCTGATGGTACGATGCAAGTAAGTTTACCCACACTGTAATCTGCTCGTGTGGATCGTTCAGTTTCTTTGGGAGATTTTGGAAAGAAAATTTATCGCTAGAACATTTCATCACATCGTTACATCAGAATTTTGAAGAGATTATTTTGACTTCCTATTCTAGATTAGTGTAATTAGTGTAATGTTGAACAGAAGGGGAAAAAACCAAAGCAGTATTGCTAGTTCGACCAATTCTTGAGAACCGTTCTTTCCGTAAATCGCGTCTAGCCAATATATTATGCAATTTTCTTTGCTTAATTATCTACATTTGGTTTAGGTGGTTGTGCCTCAAGATGTTATGAACGGCAGTAGTGATTTCTACGTTGTGATAGACGACGATGTCAGTTTGGATAGAGAAGCTCAGGTTGGTTTACTGATGAATTGTTATCCTTCCTGTGGAGCATCGCAGGAGTACGGGCGCGCATGTGCAATAAGTTGCTCACTGGTCATCATTAGCACTCAAATTCAAGGCATTGCTTTTCACCTTGGTTCATGATAGTCTTGCTACATCACAAAGTGCGGTGTATGTACAAGCGAAAGTTCTGTCGCACCTCTTTCGAAAAATTTTATCTTTTGAAGTGATTTTCATCTTGTGAAATGAAGAAATCCCTATTGAAATATTACTAACAAGGAAAGGCTGGACAGTTGAAGTGGCCTTTTGCGATAATTTGTATACGGTGTTGGAGGGCGTAAAATGCTGACTCCATATCTATCCTCCTTATCTGCGGAGCGTTCCTGGACGAGGAGTTATGAGCAAAAAAAAATAATGTTTTTCTGGTAAAAACAGTTGCAAAAATTTTCCCAGCGCTTGAATGAGACAGCCTGAGTGCGGATATATCTCATCTAAAAGTATTTGTTTCAAAGAGTACATTAAAGATTACCACTGTTCCATTTAAGCGCTAGGAAAAATGTTACTACCGTTTTTATATTATTTGCATTCTCAATTTTTTCTCCAGTAAACGGCCATAACTTCTCGTGAAGATTTGGAATTATCGTTTTATGCCCTACAACATGGTGCACAAACCATCTTAGAACGCCACTTCGACCAACCATCCTCCCCTTGTAAGTGTAAGCTACTGAAGATTGCGGGAGATAAAAGAATCGACTTGAGCTCGGCAATCTTAGCAAGGTCTGAAAAAATACTGAAGCACTATTGAATGAACTCAAAAAATTTTTAACATCATCTTCACAGTGCTGACTTGTTTCTTGCAGTGTAGACTCATATTCGTAAAACCGACGAAATTATTGCTGTTTATTTGAATAATTGTTCACGCTTTCACTCAGATTCACTGAAAAAAATACAGTCGAACATCAGTCAACAAATGCTTTTCGGATATCAATAAGCATTTGCTGTCCATGAGGAATTTTTAGAATTTTATCAAAGAAGGATTCTGAAAGTGTTGCTTATGTCAAGAAAGGCCTAACATCCTAGCATGACCAATACAGCTTTTTAACAGCAAAAAAAAAAATTCCATTCTCGTGTGTTTCAGCGAATCTGAATCTGCCACTGCACATAGCAAGTCAACACCGTGTAAGAACAAATTCTTTGGTCCATTTGCAGTCTTCCAATATTTTGGTACCTTGCCTAAAATGCCAAACTCAAGTAAATTTCTCCGATTGCTTTTATCTCTCCATGTTCCCTCAGAAGGTTGCAATAAAGTAACGATTGTGAGGGTGACTTTTTAAAATTTTTCAAGAAAGGCAGAACTTTTGGTTCAGTCTAATTTTTTTCTGGAATAATCGAAGAGGTCACGTCGAATCTACCTGATCTGTGTGGCTGGTGCAAAAGTATTAAACGCTTTATTCCGTTACAGCCGCGGTATATATATGGGAAATACGTATGTTCACTGTTTGATTATTGTTAGAGCAGAGTATGCACTCGACTGCCAGATATCCTCGCTAATTCGCATGAAGTTTGCAAATTCCTGAACACCGAGTGCTTCAAAAATTGGATTTCAACTTAGAAAAACGCTACAAACTCATGCATTTGCTTAAAGGCAGTGTCCGGGCAAAAAGTTGGTTTTGAAATTTCATGCTCAATCGGGCCTACTCGCTATGCTGACTTCGAAAATCCACATTGGAAAGCGCGAAAACGGCGAGAAAGGGCTCTAACGCAGGAAGGAAATGAGAAGTGGGCGGGGTCTTCCCCACTGTGAATTCATGCTCCAAGCTTACCAAGCGATCTTTTCGGTTCCGATTTCAAGTCATGTATTCGCACCTGGCCGTTGGAGATCTCAGGGCGCAAGAGGAATTGAGAAGATCGCTTTAGAAGCTGGGACTGCGAAATTCACAGTGGGGAGGACCCTGCCCACTTCCAATTTCCCTCCTGCGTTAGAGCCCCTTTTCGCCGTTTTTGCGCTTTTCAATGTGGATTTTCGGATTCAGCATAGTGAATAGGCCCGGGCAAGCAGAAAATCTCAAAATCGACTTTTTGCCCGGACACTGCCTTTAAGTCTTTCACGGGTTATAGTTGTACCCAAATCTTTGGAAGGAAGCATGAAAGTCGTATCCCTTTATGTATCCTAGTCGAGAAACATCACATCTCATCAAAGGGCATGTCAGTATCTGTATTTGATATTTCTAGCCTATATTTGTTTTACGGCAGCTGCATTTATGTGTTTTACTATATGTGTATTATATGATGCCTCAGTGTGAGGCCTCTAAGAATTTCTTGGCGAGGTACGATTTTTTGAGCGAATACTTAGAAATAGCGAGTAATAGATAATTTCGATTTTGGCATCCAACTTAAGGTAGATCATTACTTTTAAGAAACCAGCAATTGCCTTGTTGAGCTTTAGCGCTTTAGAATCGTATCTTCATGCAATTTCAATCACAATGCAACTGTCGCATAAGGAACTCTCATTACATTTGCACCAGCCTCATTCTAATTTTTAACTCGGACTTTAGATTTCTGTAAATGGCGTCGCATTTTTGCCATGTTTCAATTCGCGCAACTTCAATGGTTTCCTGCACTGTGAAAAATGAGGCAGTCAATTTGCTCTCAAAGCGAACCATTGAGTTGGACTCACTTTTAGCACTTCAAGCCTGTCGAAAATCAAAGTATCAGCGATTCGAATCAAGCTCAAGATTTGTCAATGCAGCAAGACGATGCAAGTTCGGCATCTTCTCATCTTCTCGAAGAAATTTTGGAAGAGGGACCAGTAGATGAGGTAAGTTCAGCGATGCCAAAATATTAGGTTGATTCATAATTAATGCACGTTTTCTATACTTCATCTTTCAACCAAGATAATTCTTTTTTGAAAAGGCATTTCTGGGCGCAATAAAAACCACTGTTACCAGCAAGTCAGTGGCTATGCAACAGATACTTTTGCCTGACTGTATCTATCATAAGGAAGATTTTCTAGCCTAAAAATTGCCAACAACTTTTTTCGGAAGCCTCTACTTTGAGAAAGCATAACTTATGCTGAAATGAAGTAGGATAAAGCAGACTTCGCTCATTGTGTAGCCGAGGATCTCTGGAGCAGTGATGCCAAACTTGGATTTTACAGAAATTTTTTGAAAGAAAATATCGCGAAAATTTCGAAAGTACTCACTTTTTTCTGGCATCTCGGCCGGCTCAAAAATCGGTTATTTTTGAAATTATTTCACTTATCTCTGCTGAAAAGTGAGAAAATCCTAGCGCTTTCCTATTATCAAATGAACTAGGTCTACCCTTGCTGGATAGCGCAAAAGACCTGCAATCGCCTTTTGCTTCAAAGTTTTATATAGCAAGGAAGGGTCGCGACGATCATTCAAGTTTGCAATTGAATTTCTTGGCGCAGAATTCATGAAGAATTTTTTTCGAACAGCGTCTTGTAGCACAAAGTTTTCTAATCCTTATACAAATTTTTTGAAATCAATCCGGCTATTCCTCATGGATTTAGGGCAAAAAGAGTGAAAAGCAAAAATTTTGGGATTCTGTCTCTTTTATTTGAAGGCTCAGAACTTCAGAATGAACGGAGATGTACGAAAGCGAAGACCCAAATAACAAACTAGAAAAAACGCCCTTTAAGATAGCATGAAAAGTTTTTGAGGAAATTGATTACAAATCAAATACCAGCTCTTGGAAAAAGAGGTGAGAAAAACGTGCATTAATTATGAATCAACCTAATATATTCCTGCAGTCAAGCAATAATAAACTTAATTAAAGAGCGAAGCGCAAGTGATAGCAATCACGGAGGAGCAGTATGAGCAGCTGCGGCTTCAGTATGGTGACAATCTCGAGAACATGGTCAGTTTATAATTAGACCAACGAATTGTTACAAATTGTGATGGACGCAGTCATTTCGGCTTTCATTCACTTTCAGAATTGCATTATTCAGAGGTCTGAAATCATTTTGTGAATACATTCATACCTATACCACGACTGAGACTTTAAATAAGAGTCTGTAAATGAGAGTCTGCAGAACGCTCGCAACAGGCGATCGCAACCGCTCTGCATTCATTTTTATGTCTTCGTCCTAAACAAGGATGGCTTTATGAAAAAGAATTTTTTGCATCGTATTACTTTACATAGAAACGGCACGAGCAACATGCTGCAAAGCGAGCAGCGAGCTTTCAAAAATGAAGCTCTCGGACCGCAGAATAATCTACGCATTTTTCACTGCGAAAATTCTTGAGAACTTTCTCCCCATTTTGCACCCCATATTTGGGGCGGTTTATGTACGCGATGGTCGGTGGCTTGGGTATCAGAGTGCGATCAGTCTATAGGGCATGTGAAAAATGGTGACGATGGCGCGACCGCGCGCGACACGCAGACCACTTCCGGAAATCACATTCTCTTGGATTTCGTCTCTAGTCCCATTTCTCGCTTAGGCATGGTAATATTTAGACACTGGAAGTGACTGGACTGAACGTTGAGGTATTGCCTTCTTGTATGACGATTTATGCTTTTGTGGGCGCAAGGTCCGCAACGAAATCCGTCGTCACGATTTTAAAAATGAACTATACCTTCAATATCATGAGCATAGCCTTCTTCACATTTCTTGCCGCATTATATAGGCCGTACTTTCGTATAGGCGGCAGTTGAGCGCAGGTAGTCTGCTCGCAATTATTTGATTCAATTTCTGTCAAAGGGAGTCTTCATTTTTATCTATTTATTTATTTCATTCTATGCACTGTTTTTGTACGTTATAAGTATCATGTGTTTAACGATGAGTTGCACCTTGTGATATTGTTCGTTCTAGAGCCCAGATACTTACATTTTTTCATATACCCTTCTTGATGTTTGCTGGTTCAGAGCGTCATCTATGTGGATGATTCTGACGTTGGAAAAAACGAAATGGTTGTTGACGTCAATGATTCGGCCATACACTCTACCTCGGTTTTGCAAAGCTGACACGTCTTACTCTTTGTCTAGTTCATCTCCTTCGGCATTCTATGTAACAAGACTGAGTATTTTCAACAATTTCTTAGAATTGATGCATTGTCTGGTGTGCGTTGTTTTTTTAAATCAAATCTATTTTAGATTGAATCTGATAATTTCGTACGGGTTTTGTACATTGTTTTGTTCCGAAAATGTAAAACATGCGAAGTCTGATCAATTTGTTTATCAGCATAATGATGATGGTTATAATTATCACAGTCAGGATATCGATGATCTTTTTACATCATGTACAAAATAAATTATCTTCAAGAGAAACACTGTATGATAAAGTAGTCAAGACCCGATAGTGTAACAAGTAATTGGGGGAAGAGAAGTAGAAAGTAAACACCGAGAAATGTATGTCTTCAAACATAGTATATGGGACGGCGGCACAGCTGAGGACCACTGTTTTGTAAAGACCTGAGACGAAAGTACAAACAAAGGAAAGCAATGGTCTCATGGGTAGAAAACTGACAGCGAAGATTCAGAAAAAGACTGATTTGCTGCTGTGAACAGTGCTACCGCTACGACCGGGCAGGAACAGATGGTGAATTTGTGGAGTAGGAATGTCGTCTGGAAGTCCACAAAAGGAGTCTTTGCGGTCCTGGTCGCTGTTGCTGCTGGTAGTATCAATACTGCACCCCTGAAAGGAGAGACTAGCAAGATTTTTGGAGATAGGGAATCAGAAAACTATTTTCTGACACCCACACGGTTGAAAATCCCAACATGATCTGTACTATTACCACACCAGCGAAAATTCTGTTCATGAGAGTCTGGTGGTAAAACATACTTCGCTGGTCACACTGGGCCGCAGTCCCTTTGGTAGTCAGCTGTCTTCTTCACCGCTCTCCAAATCTTCTGTGTCTTTACCAGCTGTACGCATTGTGGCTAGACGATTTTCTTGCCGGTAGAAGTGTTTGAAGTTCGCCACCTATAAAAGCGTAAGATTAGTGATGTTCTTGCAAAGAAAATTTCATCAGTATCTCTACTCGAGTGCGATTTGAGGGTTAAAAGTGATGTCGTAGCTGCGCTATTTTTTTCGGTAGCTTAAAATTGATAAGCCCAAGTTTTGCGACTACTGCTATTGCACAGTTGTTAGGGAGTTCAAGACTATATAAGGTTGATGAAAGGTCTCGCACCAAATCGTTTGTGAATTCGCAACTATTTACATTTGCAATCAGTTCGTTCATTTCGATATGTTTTGAAGGGAAAAATTGTGCCTATGCGCAAAATAAAGATTATTGTTGTTTTTTATAAAGGGCAAGCTAATGAGTAAGAACTTTTTACTTGCTTTAAACCTTCCAACTGGAGCTGAAACATCTCTACGACTAATTGTGATTTTCGGTTTTTATCGTAGTTTCCGAATTTTAATTTTGCTATAAATATTCTGACACAAATTCTAAAATAATATAGTTGTTTTTTCAAGCATCCTCTGGACGGTTTCTTTGTAAGGTGCTTATTCATTGATCCATTAGCTCATACAGCCACTACAGACTACATCGTCGGCTCTCAAGTGTTCTCCAGCGCAAGTCGCAACTATTTCTGGCAGATTGTGTTTAAGAGAGTTCAATTATTTTGCACAGACATGTTCAACTCCGAAAAGGTTTTCACGTTTACAACTTTTGTTGAACGCAAGAAAGCAAAGAAGAGCGATATTATTCTGAAAAAAGCTGGAAACCTACGATGATAGGCACGGGAAGAGCAAGAGTCAGCACTCCTATCAAAGCACACATTGAGCCGACGATTTTTCCTTGAGGGCTGAGTGGTACCAGATCTCCATATCTGAAAAGAAAAATGTTTTTGTAGCGGTCTAACTCCTTATTTCTTTCATATTAGTCGCGACTGGACCACTTTCACAGAACAACAATTACACAAGTGATATTGTCGTTGAACGCTAATTATTCACACCACGCTACACCTGTGCTTACCCGACTGTTGTCATTGTCACCTGGAAGAAACGGGCAGTAAAATATTTCCATCATCTTTATGATGATCATAAGCAAATTTTATGAATGGGTGTTCACTTACCAGCACAAACCAGAATGACGCTGGTATCGAGGTAAACTTCGAGTTGGGTTCGCCTTGCTCCGCGAAGTACATGCCCGAGGCGAAGAGAACCAGTGCGATCACCATGAAGAAGATGAGCAAGCAAAATTCTTGTACTGAAGCTCGGAATGTTTTTCCGAGGATCTGCAGTCCGACTGAGTGCCTAAAATTCGAAAACAAAATGACAAGTAACAAAAACTCTCATAATTTTTAAAAAAAACAGTGGGAATGTTCAGTGGGGAGCACACCACCATAATGTGAGCGGGTACGTTTTAAAATTTCAAAAATTCATAAATTCCTTCAAGTTCAATAGATCCGACTGATATAATGTGATAGTCTGGTTGATACAATATTTATATAAAAAACTCATATGCTTTCTACGATGATAGTGCTTGAAGCAAGATTATAATATTGCTTCGCTGCAATGAAAAAATTCATAAAGGCAAACTATCGTATTTTTTTTTGTTTCCGACACTAAATATGCTATTTGAAACCCACTCTTTTTAGATAAAATGACCGTTTTGATCCGAAAATTGTCTCAACGGGAGTTGTGATATTCAGATTTTGATTTGTTCAAAGATAATATGTACTATGGATGGCAAAATAAATAAATATACGTACTATATGCTAAGGAAAAACAACAGACTAAGGCGTAGCCTATTTTCAGCTGTTTTTGAAATTCTTGTTGCGTGAACTATACTCCAAATTAATACAGAAAAATCAGTATATTCTGGTAGGCAAGGTCTCCAGTTTCTTGCTTATTTGTCTTCTTATGGCATTAAGTGAAAAAGTGTGGTATCAGGTGGAGGACAATGAAGAGCAGATCAAATTCCAAGAGCATTTTCCCACAATCTAGAATGTCACCAATTACAGTGTTTTGGTATACCTGCTCAGCTTGAATATCCGAAACACCCGCACTAATCGAAGCACTCGGAGAACAGCAAACGACATCGAAGAGTTCGATTTGGTTGCATCAGCCCTAAAAGATAAATCCAAAACATCTCTTCAATGACTATGCAGTGTAATATATATCAATGTAATAGCTCACCATATCAAATTTACAAAAAACGGGGCGATAGCAACGAAATCAATTATGTTTAGGAATGACGTTAAGAATGTCACTTTGGACGGACAACTGATGAAGCGTAGTGTCAATTCTGGAAAATTTCACTTATGCTCGGGTATTAGAAAGGAGAGAGAGCTAGAACTAACCAAAAGTGAACCATATTATACAGAAGAACTCGAGCCAGAAAAAGGGATTCGAGAAACTTCGGCCTTCCTCTTTTTCTGTACCATTAAATGGCAATGGCGTCAAGAGGTCCAAAGTGCTGAGATGTAAGTCACCAGTTGGCACTGTTTCCCAGCAAAATGAAACGATTGAACTGAAAATTATAAGACATTGAATGAGTTATAGCTTAAAAAGATTCAAGTTGTGTTGCTTACATTACAATAACTGCTATTGAGATAAATGCAACAATTCGAGCGGCTAAGGAGCTGTCTGGATATTCCATTAGTTCCCATAATCTTCGCTGTGATTTGTTTGTGGGCATGATGGCTTCTGTTGGTTTTTCATAACCTTCAGAGATCCAAAATTCTTCTACGAGATGATCGCCCATCTGAAAATTCGTACTTCTGCAAACCATCAATTTTATTTTGGGTTTGTTACAGTACTGATTTTCAGTTCTACATTGTCGTCAGCCGCAATGCAAAATAATTTTGACGACTTTCGTACACATCGATTTTGTCCGTATTTTATGGAGGGGGGGGGGGGGCGGGGGGAGAGGGAGGAGGGAGGGTGCAGGGCAGGAGACGACAGATTTTTTATAGAATAGTTTGAAGATTCAAAGAAAATGTTTCACACTCATAGAATTCTAATAACTGTTACAAAAATTCCCAAACATAAACAAGCTCTACATGAGTTATAGATCAAAAATTCTATAACTCAAGTTGATCACCTTCCAATATTTGGAAGATTGTAGTCCAAGCAGGGCACAGGTGGCTTGTAAGCAAGCTGGGTATCGTTTTTAGGACAAAAAGCAAATGGGGTTTCGTTTTTGTGACCCAAAAGACACAAAATTTGCGACATTTTTTTTGAGCCGACGTTTCGTTTTTTTGGAGATTTTTTTGGGGGGTTATGGTCCAGGGTCAAAGCGGACTCCGTGAAAATTCGCAAAAGGCAAAAGTCAAGGGGGACTTCGTTTTTTGCATTTTCATCTAGCCACCTCGTGCCGAGCCCTGAGTTCAAGGCATTTGTTGTACATCAACGCTCTCAGAATTCCGAAATCACAATTCGCTGTTTTGAGTGATGCTTCCCTTTTATAATCATCTTTTTGTTGCCCCATTCAACAGCTGGAGCTCGGGACAATGTTAATAAATCTTATTCTACATATGTCTACTTGAGAATCAAAAGAAAACAGCAGAGTTGCCTCTGTGAAAGTAATTCAGGTATCATATGAAGTAGAGGGGTTAATATAAGGGTGTCCGTAAAGTATGTATACACTGTTTGATCGTCAATATCTTTCTTCCCAACAAGTCTTTTGCCTTGCTTCAGGTACCATTTTGTAAGGCTAGCTTCAGCTTAGATTTGCAGTTTAGAACGAATCACCTATCTCTTTTTATTACTGTAGGATTACGGTAGAAAATTTAAAAATATGGTGTCAATGTGGAAAAAGCTGCCTCCTCTAAACTTTTCAAAAAAATGTGAAATGTTGTGTAATAGGGTTTTTATGGACGCTGAATTCAATACTCAACTGTTCACAAGATTACGAAGCTTTCTAAACGGTGTAACCGCACTTTTTAGGAACATTGAAAAAATGGCCGCTACCTCTTACCCGGTATAACTCTTCAATGAAGCATCATAATAAGTTGAGAACTTTACAGTAAGAATCAATAAGTCTAATTAGCCTAGTGTACAAACTTTCAGGCTGTTTTGTTTCCTTTCTGAGGCAAAATTTGGCCTTTCATGGCTTTATACCCTCTTTGAAGTTTCTACCGTAATCCTACAGTAATGAAGAGAGATGGGTGATTCGTTCTATACTGCAAATCTAAGCTGAAGCCAGCTCTACAAAAAGGTACCTGAAGCAAGGCAAAAGCCTTGTTGGGAAGAAAGATATTAACGATCAAACAGTGTATACATACTTTACGGACACCCTGTATATAACCTCAACTCTCATGAGCGACGTTTTTTCAATTCAATTTTGCATGCTACGATGTATATAGTACGGCTGCATCTAAGCTTTGGCTGATATCTTGTGAAGAATTCTGCGTAGCAGGACCAACCTGAAAAAATCGCATTTCCCTAAGAAATACATCAATAGGTATCGATTCCGGTCGCTTGACCCTTCCACCGCTCTGGTAAATGTATAGTATGGACTCAAACCTGCAATAGTTAGTTGGTTGAGAATGGCATCAATGGGATTTTTGCGTGCTGGTCAAACGTGGAGGTTAGTAATGCTTTGCGTAGAGTGATTCTACGGTGACCAACGTAAGGTACATGACAAGAACGTGTGGAAAGAGGGGGAGGTGAGGGTTCGCACACATTCGCTTACAGACTTGCGCCCACTTGCCAATCGATGTCTTCGTCACTAAAATCGAAGAGTTTTGTAAGTCCATAGGTAAGTTCAAGTTTTAGTCTACTAAGAACGGGTGTTTCTGATGTAGTCTTGCTTCCCTGTGATCGCTTTTGCATTGAAATACCACAGAAGCTAGTAGCCGGAAATTTCTGCGAATAATCTCAAGAGGGAAGTACTTGCTGACCCGCCTTTCAACATCTCAGACAATCGCGAATAACTTCCGGGGAAAACTGAAGTTCTAAAACTTCCGGGGTACACTCCTATTGGAGCTGCCAGCTATGGCGGAGCACACACACACGGCCCAATAGGAGGTCCCCCAGCAGTTTCAAAGTTCAGTTTTCCCTGGATCATTTGCGATTGTCTGAGATAGGATGTAGACGAAAACACTGCTTTCACTGATCTCAAGTCTATCGTTAAAATTTGCGAATAGATTCTCAAAAGAGTTATAAACACCTTAGCCTTTGCAACTGACGAGGAGAGGACTGCTTAAAATACGGGAATCGAGGAATTTGCATTAGGTGCTGTCTGGTGCACTTCTTGTACTAGTCTGCCAAGCAAGATACACCCCTAGGTTCGATTCCTGATTGGAAACTAGTTTCGTTTTTTCTCTAGCAAGTATTATTATGCTTCACACATTCACGGCATCTAAGTAACCGAAAAAAGCTGAATTTCGATGTATTTTGTCAACTATACTCCGGGCACTCCTCGCCACCTTTGGCAAAGCCCTCTTCAATCTTTCTCGGAGAATCGTTCCACAGACTTCGAATATGGATTTGAGATCAGCGTTTTGAAAAGAGCATTTCATATACCCTTCGATTCATCTGGCTTGGCGGCTGGAAGGCGGGGCTTCGTGACCTAATCAAGGCTAGGTGATGATCAAAGAGCACACCCGCAAGAGAGACGCAGAGTCGCGGGCGCGAGCGGCCTTAAAGTCACAAAGCTCCGCCTTCCAGCCGCCAAGCCAGTTGAATCAAAGGTTACGTCTTATGAAAGGTTGGGGTTACCGAAAGTACTTCACTATAGACAGAAAGTCATTGTTATGCAGATGTTTGACTCTCGAATGGAAATTACAAGCTTTTGCAAGCATGAAGAACCAAGGGATCAAAAGCATTCAAAGAAGGTGGTCCACAAAATCTGGGTGTTGGTTTCGTTTGTTGAAACAGCTTTTTAGGCTCTCAACTCTTGCTCAAGCAGCACATAACCCCAAATCCAGTCCCGAATAATATTTCAACCGTAAGTGAATGCTGGCTGGTCTAATCGAGGTACGATCTAGGCAAATCTTGTGTTAAATTCGTTGGCCAAAAATAAATTATAGCAGCTTTTGCTTGGACAATGGCATAGCGAAGATCATGCAGTCTACCTTCTCACTTAGAGATTCAATTCCAAAAAATTGAATTTTAGGATACATGTTGCGCCCCTTTGTCGCACGAAAAACTTTGCAAAAGAGATGCATAAATTTTTTGCTTTTGAAAGCATTACAAATGAAGGTTAATGGATAAAATAAAGCAAAAAATAGCACCGTGCATGTTGGTTAAAAGCTTGATTCATGCAGAGATCCCTTTATCAACATAGAAATGATATTTCGAAATCATGAGCAAGACCACACTAGAAAGCTGATACATCCCCCTCTTACCAGTTTGTCTTCGATTTCTGAAATGAAACACTTGCTGCTACGTACGGTAGCGTGGCAAATATCATTTCAGTGATCTTCCTTGTTTTTTACACACAAAGCAGATGTTAGATTCATTTTGAAGACGTTCGTAAAGCCAACTCACGCTGATCGATGTCGGTCGAAAAAATACTCGTTTGAATCCTGCACATAATATTTTTCTCGTTTTGCTTTATTGCCGAGTAGGGTATTAGGGAATCTGGAAAGCACTGCAGTTAGTTTGAGTCTGATGCATTGCAGGTATAAGTATGCAATACAAATGGATAGAAAGGAGAAGTCCTCATTAAAGTGACATTCTGTCGAGAAGGTAGTTGAAAAAACTAGAAATTCTGGTTTCGGCATTAATCAAAAAGTTTTCTGAACAGTAGAGACATGATGCACGGTGGTCCTAATATTTTAATAGCATTAGCAGAAAAGAAGAATTTTTGATTTCCCACTTTAGTCCCATCTTCCGCACTATCAGTATAACTGTTATAGCGCGGGTCGACCTAGAAACGCACTTAAACTTGCATTTCGCTGCGGGTTATTCGAAACTCGAAGTCTAGTACGTATTGCATTTCACATATTAAGAATGAGTAAGTTCTGGAATGATATCCACGAAAGTCCCCGCGAAATGGGCTTTTCTTGCGAATAAAATGGACTTAGTCCATGCGGTGCGATAAGATATCGCATTCGCGAATCCATTCATTCCATACAAATCTTCTTCAGCAAACCTTTCTCCAACTTGCCTCAACCTGTTTACTCACTCTTGCAAACTCATTTCCACTAAGCGGTCGATATCTGATTAGTGGATTGGATTGGATTCACATGGATTTTTTATTCTTTCCCACCTCGTTACACCTCACAAACTCACAAAATATCATTTATTGTCGATGACTATGCTCTAAATTACCTCCAAGAATAAAATTTATCCGGGCCTTCGCTTCTCGAGACTTCTACGGATCTGCATTAAATCAAATTCGTACGTAGAGCTTTCTGCGGAACGCAGACTTTGGCTAGACTTGCACTGCAACCTGTGAACAAAAATGCTCATCTTATAGAAAACCTTGTACTACACTACAACCCCAAGGGTTTTTTAAGTCAGAAAAACTACGAATCTGCAAAAGATGACTTCGCAAATTTTCTACTTTAGCTCTTCTTTGTCTCTCGGCACTAATGCTTATATCGGTAAATAGTTGAATGTAAGGACTATTGCTAGTAGGAAATTTTTCACAAAAATTTTTTTGCTAGCTAGCGGCATTTCAGTAATTCTTGCGACCAAACTCAAAATTGCGTTTGAAATGCCGTCTTTGCGGTTCGGTTCTGCGAAATCAGTCAAAAGATAGCTTCTGAGTAATTATATTGAAACGCAAATCTTTTATATTTTTAAATACAAATCATGAATTTAGTTTTGGTTGATGATTTGAAGAATTAACAAACTTTATTTGATTTACATAGGAAGAATTTTCGCATCGACTTGATATTTGGAAGCATTTGAGTTTGTTTGCGAGTATTTTGGTAAACCTAACCTTCTTCCATGATTTTCATGGCGTTTGTATGAGTATAAAAGGAAACGCTTATTTTAGACTGCATGAAAGACATAAGCCTTTTCCCACTCACTTTTTACCTTAAGATGGGCTAAGGAATACATTCTCAAAAGATCGCCATCAAAAACGTGCAAAGAGGTCAAAAATGGGCTTAGTCCCAGCTCATCTTGCTACTGGGAGTAAAATGGGCTTTCAAGTCCATTTAAAATGGAGGTAAATTCCATTTTGCCCCATTCTAAATGGACTTTTCGCATGATTCTTTCGCAAGCGAGAGCTCAAGTAGGGTTGAATCATTTTCGTCACACCGTTTTGCCTCGTGGTTGCGATGAGATAAAATTTTTTGGATAACGCTAACGAAAGCAGATCCGACCACTTTCCACTGCGAACGAACAAAATGAGGCTTGAAAGCCCATTTTCCTCCATTATGGACTTTCGTGGATATCATTCCTGGGGTGGTATGCATCAATCTCCCATTTTGAAAGCGGGCAATCATTTTTGATAGAAAATGATCGCCCGGCCGAGTTAAGCGCCCGACCCGTGAGGTACGATTTCTTTTGAAAATGATGGCCCGCTTTCAAAACGGAAGGTTGATGCATACTGCCCCTGAACTTCAGAACCGAGATATTGTAGCCATCTCGTTTTTCATTCGCGAAAGAAACGATAAAAATCTACCGAAATCCTCCGATTCAATAATCTATCTTCGCAACAAACTAACAATTATCATCTCGAAATATGCCAGTAATGCAGGGTAAGTAATAATAGCATGTTTACAATGCATAGAAACAACAAGTACTACAGTCTGCCCCAATCTCAACCAGACCAAAATTGGCATGGCGGGAGTCCGTGTCGCTAGGGTTTCGCGGTCACGCCCACGGCGCTTCTCTACTCTCTCTCTTCATTTCTTTGCTCTCTACGACAGCGCGCATACAGTCGATTTCATCCCGGATTAGGCGAGACATTCTACTGGAGCAGCGCATGCGCATCGCTGGAGGCTTTGCGTGCGCATAGCGCTGGCATTTTGCCAAGCAAAGACTAAGGAGATTGAAGAGACGTAGACATGCGTTCTCAGCACGCTAGGATCTACTGTAGCTGCGAAACGGCGCGAGCTATTGCGGGGCGGACTCCCGCCAATCCAATTTCCGCCTAAAGCGGGTCGAAACTTACTGTATGCAGGCAGACCGCCAGTGCTGCGAGCGCGCAAAGTTACGCCGACGGTTCGGCCTGATCCCGATTGGAGCAGATGTATATATATCGAATTTTTGAAATTACATGTACTGGACAGCTGAGACGAATGGCGCAGCGGTGTGAGAAGGCAGAGCCGGCGAGGGAGTAGGAAATTTCAAAACTCACTTAAAAACCTGCTCACTTACTCACAAACTCGCTTGAACTCAACTTCGCTCGTATAAGATGCTTTTCTCTTATGAATGAATCTTAGACAATCAGTGTTTTCCTTCCGACTAAGGCTTTTTACGATGGAGTCTTGCTATCTCTCTTACTGCATCGAGCAAATTAATAATTTAGATTTGTGAGCTGCACATAAAGTGGTAGTGTCTTGCTAAGTATGAGTGGCATTAGTGAGAACTTGTTGTATCACTTTGACTTCACATATTGGAGGAAAAAAGCATTTTAAATTTATTATTCCTTCTTATATACGAATTCCACATAGTAGTCTTACCTTGCTAACGTTTTTTCGAAGGTTTGAAATCGCAATCCGGCGACATTGATGGTGATAAGATCGCTACTGCTTACCCTGAATACTTTTTGTTCTCTTCTTACCAATAAAAAACGAATGCAAGGAAAATTATGGGTGTCGTCTGAGGTGTGAAAAAAGTATTTTGTAATTAGCTTCAGCCAAAATGTGATAGAAGACACTGCGAGTTAGTGTTATCAGTGTATAGTCTGATACTTGTCAATGAGAATCACTGTTTTGACAGTATCCAAATGTTAGGAATGAAAGACCCACCTGTCATCACTAGCCGGTGTCCCTCGCTGAGGACTGATATTTCTAGTGTCATCATTCAGAAGATTCCCATTCGCTTCCTCCATGTCCATAATTGGAGGTCTGAAAAGAAAACCATAAAAGAAAACTTTGAAAAAGTGGCTGCCAGCCATTTTTCGTATCTGTTCAAGGTTTTGACTATAACACCTCATGACCGACTCTGTGCTCAAAGACTTTTCCGGGTGACAATAAAAGCTTATTCGCGACGATAAAGACTGAGTTTACGCAACCGAATAATTTTTAAATGTGGAAGTTTTGGTTACTGGGAGATATGCGTATTTGCGTAGCATCTGCAGAGACACTTTGGACTCTGTGGATGCAAGTAGGCATCTGGTGGCCGAGTGATCATAAAGGTGGAAGCACTTGTGTAAAGTAAGAATCTGCGGAAAAACTTGGCAATTAGGATATTTTTTGTGCAAAAAAGCATTTAACTCTATAGAAAAGAATAAAGTAAAAGAAAATTCCGCAGTTTTCGCAGTTCGCGAATTGCGCTTTTGCAAAACTGCGCAAAATTACTTTTGCACAAAGTTGCAAGTTCTGTATGTGTGGAGCAAAAAATCACTGCCAAAAACTTTATTCCAAGGAACCTTTGAATTTGATTGTTATCCGTGCATGCAGAATCATAAACATCAATGTTGCCTCTATGCGTCAGAAAGATTCCCGCCCAGAATATCATATCAAACGCAATCTAATATCAAATACGTTATTCCTCGTAAAAGACATTTGCGAAGACATTCTTTGTATCCATATTTTGTTGGAGAAGACGTGATGGTAGAGACTCGCAAGCATAGAACAAACTGAGTAAATTAACATATGCTATGAGAAAGAATTTGCCTCATTTGTTTTGATGCTGTTTTGTATAGCTTATGCATAGTCATGAGGAATAGAATGTAACCAACGATTGATGTTACGGTTGAATGAGTTCAGCGAATCAACAAGCAAGCGGCATACAGTTTCTACGAGGTGCCCTACTATTACTTGTGCTGAATAACTTGCAAATGCTAAAAGCGAGAAATATGATGTTTGATTCATGTCACAGAATCGTGAGCATTCTCTACAAGAAGCAATTTCGAAATTTCAAAACGATTTTCGTAATAAGACCCAGGGACAGTAGTATTGTGACCAGGGCTCGGCACAGGTAGCTTGGTAAGCAAGCTGGATATCGTTTTTGGGACAAAAAGCAAAGGGTGTTTCGTTTTTGTGGCCGAGAAGACACAAAATATGTGACGTTTTTTTGGTCGATGTTTCGTTTTTTTTTTGGAAATTTCTTTAGGGTTGTGGTTTAGGGTTATGGTTTAGGGTCAAAGGGGACCGTAAAATCTTGGGAAAGTCAAGGGGGACTTCGTTGTTTGCATTTTTCAAAGGCCACCTCGTGCCGAACCCTGATTGTGGCTCATGCGTAAAGTAGAAGATAGTCATTGTTTTCGTTCTTTTCTTTCCCATTATCGTTTTTCCAAATGTGACATACTGTACAAACTAGTCGGAGTTCGATGCGTGATACAGGCGGAGAGAGTTTATGCAGTAAAAGTTTATGCAAAAAAGCAGGTCAATCTGAGCTTTAACATCAAACAACTCGAAAAACAAGATCAAGTGTTGAGCATGTTTTCTTAGACTGAATTTCAGATTTTGGTCTTTAATTGATCTTTGCTGTGCCTCCTCTGTGATCCCTTGGCGGGTAGAAGGACAGCGCCACTTATTTTGATGCGTACAAATTATGTCATACATTGCAGCGAGCGAATATTAAGAGTAGAAATCCAGGGCATGTATAAAAATGAAAAATCATCACTTGTGCGAAACATGATCGACGCTGCAAAGATCGAGCGAAGAGTTTAAAACGAGAAGCCGGAACAACAACGCACAGCCAACAGACGGTGCTGAAGTGAGAAGTACTGGCAGGCACAGCTGCTGCTCGATTGGTGATTGCGAGGAGACGTGGAAGAAGAACTATTAGTTTCACAGAGTCTATCACTCAAGTACATCTGACACAATGTTTGACGCAAGTGGATATTGTATATATATTATCTAATAGGTTGGCACGTAAGTGTTGCAACTTATTTCGTAACTTTTCTCTTTTCAACTGTGACGCGTTCTTTTTTGGGCATAATGTAGATTAGATAGTAGGCTATGAACTTGCGCAAACGGTTTAATTTTTGGTAGTGTGGAGAAATTTTACTTATTTTTCGAAAGCTGGTCAAAATTTCCCGAAACTTCAAGGGTCGGAAAACCAAAAATGAAGCCGTTCTCAGTCTGAATCAAACAAATCAAGCCGAAGCTGTGCAGATGAATGGATCTTCCTCTATAAACAATCTGGGTACAGCTTTGGCTTGATGTTTTCAATTGAGACTGAGAACGGCTTTATTTTTGGTTTTCCGACCTTTGAAATCTCGAAGAGACCAGCTTCCGAAAAATGAGCAAATTTTCTCCGTTCGAAACAAGAAATCAAACTGTTTGCGCAAGTTTGTAGCCTACTATCTAATCTACATTAACCAAAAAGAATGCGTCACAGTCAAAAAGAGAAAAGTTACAAAATAAGTTGCAAAACCTATGTGCCAACATAATAGTAGTGAAGGAGGTTTCCTTGCGAGTCATCCTAGACACTAATATGGAAAACTGTTTCTTGGTCTAGTCGCTTAAACAATTGTGACAGGTGAACTTAAGTTGCTGTAGAGATGAAAGCATGAGCAGCGAATGCATTGGAAAAACTTCAGTTCGAGTTTAAAATCTTTTTGTCAAGTTTGCAAGCTATACTAAAGGATGCTTCATCGTCTAAACCAAATGATTTTTTTGTGAAGAAACGGGGAAAATGTACCTGAAAAAGACCTAGAATTCTTCTACAAGGCCCTTTGGTCTACATCAAAACTTCCTTCAGCAGTAGCACAGAAACCAACCAGCGCAGATTTATTGCCTATTAAGACCACTTCAAGCTTTCGCCGGCCACACGACGTATGAAATTTTTTGCAACCAAATCATAAAAAAAGCAGCGCTTTGAACAAGGAGGACACAAGTTGGCACGTCCTTGAATCTCGCAGGTAAGATTTCAGAATTTCGGAAGTTTTCATTCAAATTTGATTTCCACAGCGCTCGAAAATAGTAGAGAGAATCATGAAGTTTTAAATTTGGAGAGATTTTATCTTATTGAACTTTTGCTTTGATCACCGCTTTAGCACTTCGCAGCACTAGTAAGCCATCCTTCTTCCTCAACTCCCTTCGATAGTAAGGTCCATGCATCTTTAACTTTCCATAAATCATTTGAAGGAGCTCTTTAAAAGCTTTCCATGACACATATAAACCCTACCTCTTGTGAATTTATGGAAATCAAATGAATGTAAACTCAAAATCCCATGTTTTTGACTCTTTAATTAGATAGAGGTTTATTAAGAATTGGGAAATTGTCACCTAAAACGTGCACAAGAGCTTCAGCAGTTTATAAGAATATTTTTTTTCAAAATGAGTAAAAACTCAATGAGAATCAATGTAAAGGCTTTTGCAGGAGAATATTTTGTTTTGGCTAAATGTGGCTGTAAAGCGAAAAAGGTACATTCAGCGAAGGTTACTTCTTACAAGAAAAGGATATCTACACAATGGAAAGGGGACTTAAGAAAAGAAAAGAAACAGCAAAGGGCAGGGCATTTATGTGCAGTTAAATGGGATACGCGTACTTTCGCTAAGAAAACCACAAAATGCCCTATGCCCGTGTAGTGACACCATTGTATTGCGCATAAGGTCTTTGAAAATTATTCTACCCGCTGTGTTCGAACAATAGCAATTCTCGCCATGATTCTGTCGTTGAGCCAGCAAATAGCCATATATAGTATCTGACAGGAAGTTGAGTGGTTTGTTAGTGCTAAAGCATTAACAAACTCAAACAGTTACATGCGATTCATGGAGAAAGAAAGATTTTCCCATTGCCACTTACTTATGACCTAACTGCTCTAATACAGTACCCTGAACCAAACTGAAAACTAAACAAAGCTTAAAAACGAAACTATTATAAATTTTCGCAAGGAACCATAGAATAATAATTTTTCTTTCACTCGAAAATTATGACATTGTATACGAAAGTCAAACAGCAAAAATTCTGCTCACTAAATAAATTTAATTCATACGACCTACATCACTGACAGTCTCGAATTTTACTGCAGCACAGATTTGGAGACTAGTTAGAAATTTATAAGAATGGTCTAATTTTTCCATTTTATTTTAGCAGACGGTACTTAATGCGGAACAGCCAGGAGGTTACTGCAAAAACCCTATTTTCAAGTGTATAAGTCGCGGAGTGGTCCTAGCTTACATCGACCAGCCCGAACAAATCAAAGGACCTCGCAACCAAAAGACCCTATATCGTACCGCGTATGGCCTGAAAAATCGTGCGGCATAGGATCGCTTCTCGAAACACAATGAAGCGCCTGAGCAGCTCGTTTGAAAATTTGACAAAGTGCGGCTTATGCACCTTAAAATAGGGTAGGGATTTTCCTCCCCAACTATATTAGTTACAGTCGAATCGTTAAGATTGGAAGAAGGTATAATCTTTACAAAAAGAAATGATATTATCCTTTTCAGCTAGGACATCCCGCGCGTATAGATTCCTATATCAACATTGATGTAGGAGCGTATACGAGGTTGTGTTTTCCCATGCTACGGATTTAGAGTCCCAGGAGAACACTTAGTGAGTTGGAAAATTCCTACAAAGATACCATCAATCGTCGTTAATTGAAACCGAATAACAATGGTCCTGAGCGAAAATATATAGCTTCTAGGAAAACTGAAGCAGAAAAATTAGGCATACACACTAGATCGAGCTTGGCTAGAGATTATAGTAATTGACCAATATCTTCTCTGTCCCAATACCGATATCAACCCTCCTCAGAACTTTACGAATTGACTTTGTTTAGGAGCAAAGCTTTTTGCGAACACTTGGGATGCTCAAGCGGAAGTAAAACATGGTCGCGAAACGCATTTAACGTGAGATAGGGCCTTGTAAAAAAGCTAAAGATGTATGAGAACTGGACACATGCACATCCTTCGGGAAAAATGGAAAGCAAAGCTGTAAGCATGGCAAATGG